GGCCGGTGGCGCAGAACGTGACGGCGGCGAGCATCGCCGCGGCTTGAATGTCCTTGGGGGACGCGGAGGCCGGCCGCGGGAGCTGCGCGGTCAGTTCCGGGAAATTGAGGTGCGCCGACTGGCCCTTGATGGTCAGCGCGGCCACGTCGTGGGCTCGCGCCGCCATCTCCGCCGTCGGGAACGTCCCCAGCCAGATCCTCGACTTCTTCCTCGGCTCGCGTATCTCCGACACCCATTTCCCCCAGTTCCGCATCCGGACGCCGCGGTACACAGGGTGCTTGCCATCCTTGCTTCTCTTTCTAGCTTCACCACCACCACCACCGCCGGCAGTAGTCTCAACCACCCTCTTGGATCCACCTTTGGAAGCCTCCTTTATCTTCTTTGATGAGGCGCTGGGACAAGAAGAGGTGATGGAGGACAAGGAAGAGGAGGAGGAGGAGGAAGTAATAGTAGAGAAAGAGGAGTTAGCTTCACAATCATGGATGAGTTCTTCTTCCATGGTGAGAAGCCAATGGTGTTTTTGAGTTTGGAAGGCAATCTAAAGTGGCTGCATAAATAGTAATGTGAGGGCCATTTATGATGCCCCTATCAAATGCCACAAGTAACACAAATAATATAAAATAAAATTGATAATTTACATTAAAAAAAACCCATAATAATAAGTTTTTTTTTAATGAGGTGTGTCACATATTTGCCTTTTACTCCTTTTTTTTGCTTTGAATTTGATAAAAATACTCTTAATAAAATCATAAAAAGATAATAATTATCTTCTGACTAGATTTGATTTATTTATTTTAGGATTAAATCGATTTTTTTTTAGATGAACTAAGTTTTAACTATTTTAATTTGATTTAATTAAACCCTTAATTACGTTTTAATTTTTTAAAATTATCCTCACCTCCACCTCCTTCTCCATCGCCACTATCTCCTACTCTTCCCACTCCGTCACCTCCTCCTCCTTTTCAATGGTTTTCTTCTCCCCACTTTCCCCTTTAGCTTTCTCTTCTCCCACCCCATTTTTGTCTCCTCCTTCTCTCACTTAACTCTATCACCTCCTCCCTCTCTCCCTTGAAGTCTTTCTTTCTTCACTTTTACCTTCTCCCACTCCTCCATCCCCCCTTTATCTCACCCCCTCCCTCCTCCCCCTTCTCTCACTTCCCTTATGCTTCCTCCTCATCCTCCATCGACTCCATCTCCGTCTCTTTCGTTACCTCCTCCCTCTTGGCTTTCTTCTCATCCACCTTCATCTTATCCCACTCCTTTAGCCACCTCTCTCTCATCCTCTTTTTCCTTATATCTTTGCTCCATTTTTTCTTCTCTCCCTTCCTCTTTCGCCATCCCCTCATCATAATTTGTCTACAAAAGTCATTACACTCGAATTACACATATTTACATAATATATTAAAAATATATTATTTATATACAATAATTATCTTAAATTTATCACAAAATTAAAAATTTTGAGTTATACTAAAAAATATATTTATTTTTATATTAAATTATCTAGAAAAGCTTTTTGGCTCAAGTTATATACTATTATACTCATTAAAAATATATTAGTTTCTATATAAAATTATTTTACATTCATTATAGAACTAAAAAACTCGAGTTTTTCTCTAAAATATATTATTTTTATATAAAATTATCCTAAATTCATCATAAAAAATATTCATAAAATCTGATCTTTTCTGCTTTTATTTCCTATATTGACTTAGTTACACTCAAAATTAAAATAAGTTAAATTCAATTATGTAACTTATTTTAATATTAATATTTTTTAGATATGTTAGGATAATTAATTATAAAAACTTCAAGAATTCTATTATAATTTAATTCTAACAAAAAAATATTATTATTTTTTATTTTATAATAAAATTAGAATAAATTTATATAAAAAATAATATATTTTAATAGGTTATAAGAATGAGTGAAACTTGAATGTAACTCGATTATAACTTAAGTGCAACTTGAATGTAGGGGATTTGACCCGATCTGATCCGAAGGGATTTGACTTGAACCGATCCGAATGAACTTGAAATAACTCGATTCAAGAATATTTTTAGAATAAAAAAAACATCTCTTAGTAAAAATTAAATATATGATGTCATTCGATAAAAGCTTATTAATTGAGGATTTTTTTGATAAATTATCCAAAATAAAGAAAATTAAGAGAGAGAGATGGCCAGGTTCTTCCATTCACAAGAATTGACATCTTCGTCGTTCCCCGTGGGAGGCTAAGTAAAAGCAAGTGCGAGTCTACGTGAACAGGGGAACTCCATGTGCTTCTTTGACCCTCCCTTGTGTCAGATTTCCATGGAAATGATTCGACATGAAACAAGAAGACGAAATTGAGAAGCATGCATCACGTTATATTCCCATCATCTCCCAGCGGTGTGAAGAACCATGGCGATCACATCAGCCATGGCCGGCCACAGCACCAACTCGCATGATTGGAGGACGTTTGCGTCGCCGTCGCCGTGCCTTAATGCGCTAATGACTTGTCAATTCTCCAGTAAATTAGCATTCCCAGTGGCCACGAGGCCTCACCGTTCTCTCAGAAAATATATTTGCGAGGACTCGAAGAAGAAACAACTACCGATGAAGCACCCAAGGAGGTTAACTTTTGATTCTTAACACTGCTCGTCAGGTTTCTCTCTTAGTTTCGAAGTCTTCCTCCAATCCCTCGGAACTCCATGACAAGCACAGAACTGTGGCCAAGGAAGAAGATGGCCAAGCGGTTTTTCTTCAGAAGCAGCCATCACCATTGAGCTCATCCGAGAAGAAAACTTCCTTCTTTAGGGAAAAGGGAAAATGCTTATCATCTTCTTCATTTTTCAGTTTATAGTTTAGGCATTGTTTTTCTTTCTTATCAAAAAAGAATAAAGTAACACTAATCGTTCGAGCCGAAGAAATTTAGTAACATTATTCGTAAAATAAAGATTGTAAGTACCGACACCATGCGAGGTCATGTAGTACTCTTTAAGACTAGTACATCAACTTAGAACACTAAATGCTGCTGCTGCATCCACAGTGCAGTAAGAAGGCACAAACAATGGGTTGGCTTCTATTTGGATCTCGGCGTCTTGTGTCGCATGGAACTCAGCTGGTTTGAACCCATCACAGTGCAGCGAGGAGGAGATGCACTGAGCAATTAGTGTGTGTGAGAGATCAGTGATCGATTGATTGATTGATTGGTCCACACACACAATATGGATACAATGAGGTGAGTGTGGTGGTGCCACATGACAGCAACCGGTTCAATGAGACTTGCCACCTAACACACCTTCGTCGGCTACCCCTCAAAACAGCCCTTTTCCTTTCCCCCCCACCAAGATTTTATTGACGCTCCAAATTCTCTTGAACGTATCATCCAATATTGTACGGCCTGAAACCTTCTTAGTTACCTCGTCTCTATTCGTTGGAAACTATTTCATGTGATGTGTTGTATATCAGCCTGCAATAGTGGAGGAAAGCATTCTTCATGTCATGCGTTCTTTCTTACCACATGTATCCAAACTTTTTACCTCTACCCTCCGATGGGTGGGCTTAAAAATATGACATTTATATGTTTATAAAGGTGTGCATCAAGTAAATCGACAACTCCATGATATTGAGAGAGAGAGAGAGAGATGGGCGTACTAAAAATGTTAGTTTTGCAGAAGGGAGTGCCATTGGGAAGGGGAAACCCCATCGGGTGCAGCAAACGAGGCCTTAGTCTTTCTTGCCCATGTGGACCTTCGACTCATGGCGTCGGCCACCATAAAACGCTCGAGGCCATGTGTGGCTCATCACCCACCACGAGGTCTCTCACCCTGTTGGCATCGTCATCTCGTTCCCCCGTCCATAACTCACGGCGGGCGAGCTGTCGTTCTATCCACTGTCATCACGAGGGATTCGCTAATCCCTTCGCTCGTTCTTCTACCACCCTTCATCGACGTCCTAATTCCATTCATCCATCAAAAAAAAAAAAACCAACTCAAAGAGACGATGACTGACTTGCCAAGATTAATAAATTAATTATTTCATGTATTGTAATAATAATAATATTATTATTTTTATGACCAATAAAACATGTCATTTATTTTATGTTATATTAGATTTTTCCCACTCTACCCAGAGAAGTACAAAATAAGCTGGCCTTCTCCTTCCTGCTGTCATCTGACTCTTTCCAAGTACAGGAGGAGTACCTTCTCTTGTCTGCTTCTCAGCATTGGATTGGTTCACTGCTTTATTGTTATGTTTTTCTTTCTTCTGGTACAAATAGTACAGAATTCCAGGGTGTTTCAGTCCCTACATCGAGATAAGAGTTTGAGCAATTTGAGAGTAGGACTCATCACAATCTAACTAAAGCCTGCGAGCAAACCTCGTGAGCAGTGGTGGTGTCTTCGATCCCGTCAGTGGTGGGCTTATTATGCTGAAGCTCCAAAACAACAATCCAAAAGATTGACGATGAGTTACGGCCATACATGATTGTGTAACTAAAGCCTGCGATTAACTCCCACATACCATTGTAATTAACCTGATCCGTGGGTTACACAACAATCCAAAAGATTGACTTTTGTTCATCAGAAAGGTAGCGTGAAGATGGAGACGTCTCTCGGTAATTTACTATAGAAAAATGACTCGAGCCACCTGAAGCTTTCCTCTCTCATCTTTTGACTTCTTAACTGCTTGTATCATGTATCATTCACTGCAATAGGTTCAAAGAAAAACAAAACCTGTACATTTATTGGTCAAGACATCAACGAAAGTGATAGGAGAAATATGATGCATCCATCAAGCCAATGACCAATCGTGCTTCCTTCAGAGATCAAAAATACATGATGAAGCAGCGTCGTTATAGTTGGATGATTGATATGCTAATGCATCCTAAATATATGAAAGAGCAAAAACAAGTCTCTTCGTATGGAGTGAAGCATCCTGATCATCTGAGTCAGGAAAATAAGGCATCCAAACAGGCAAACAAAATGAACACGGAAGTAGTTGCCAGTAAACATGAATGAGTAAAAAAAACCTGCATTTTGATACTGCTAACGACTGTGTTCAGCACATAATACGAGATTCCGCTCAGCTGAATATTGATATTTGACAATGATGACAACCGCTCAACGATGCATCTGATATGCTAGCATATTGTTAAAGAATATTGTACATATAACTTGATCTTCCAAGTTTGTTGAGTGCCTTGCATTGACCTCCCTTTGAATATCTACTTTAAGCACTTGAAGCTGTACATTATTAACCCTAAGAGCTATCGAGTGGCTGATATGGTTATCAGTAGCAGACGACTAGACACACATGGATCCAAATGTTTGCTGACTCGAAGATCAAGGCCTTCTGGAGCCCATGATAGCACTCGCAACAGCAGAGCACCTTAATTAGGTCAAGGTAGACATGCTCAGAACATCATGGATGTAACAGGAAGGAAATTATATATCGATCTCATGGAACACTAGAAACAACTGGCCTTAAAAATCACAAAATTTCCAAACATTTGAATTTTATGTTATCAGTTGCACAGAAATCCTGCAAGAATATATCAAGTGATTCATGGACCAATGTACTCATAAAGTTACTCATTTTACTCATCTCTTATCCTCTACAGGCAATTAATAGAACTTTTGCCAATGATATAAACCATTATGCCAATTATTGAAGTCTTAAACCAAAAACTGTAGATATATATAGTTGCTTACTAGAAAAATAGTCAGAGCTATAGCCATCCGATAAAGTGCTAATATGCCAGAGCAGTATGAATATAAGCTGCAGTATAAGGAAATGGTCCAGGAATGCAGTAACTTTCATAATAATCTAACGAGGAGGAGGCAAGGCTAGCTATCAAATGGCGTACCTTGACTTGCTGACCATCTGGATAGTTGGATCATGCCTGAGCCTTTGTGGATGGATTAGCATGAAAAGCAGATTGCCTCCTCGACCCTCCAAGTAAGTCCAGTGAAGATGTGGTTTCTCCACCAGACTCTCCTATACTCAGTTTGGACATACCCACAAGCTCATCAACATTTATGGGGTTCTTTGAATGTACTGCTGTTGGCTTAATAATTTCATGTGTCTGCTGCTCTGAAGCATCTGCTTTGTATCCCGACCAATAAGGGTATGAAAATTGTAGAAATGGTGAATAATAAGCTGGAAGTATCACAGGATAACTGCACTGTGGAGCTTCTGGCTGTGGGGCACCTGCTTCTCCGGTCATCGAGTCATTAGAGTCCATGGATTCACATTCCTCATTCAGAGTTGGAGGTATCAAAGGTAGATTCTTAATTTGTGTTTCTGAGTCTTTGAAATTCACTGGAAACTGCTCAAATTCAAGGGACTGACAAAAAAAAAAAAATTCATAAGATGAATTTTAAGACGAATTATTCATGTTCTTCAAATGGATCTGTCCTTCCAAGCCTTGTCAAGAAATTATATTTTCCTCAATTTCTTTATTAATAAAAAGTAGGTTACATTAGCCACTATATGAGACCACATTACCACAGTCCAGGAACTACATGTTTTAGTTAGAACAAAAACCTAAAAACTGAACTTTGGTTTACAGGCTTCCGTTGAACAGGTTGTTGGAGGCCGCTTAGGTGTAAAAAATTTCATCATCTTCTTTGGCATAAAGGTTTTATAAATCTCTTTCCTAAACAATTCTTAACATGGTGGTTCCACATATAGAGATTCACATATTTTTGTTTTTCTTTCAAAACCTTTAATCTCTATCCAGCTGAACATCTAGCTCAAATTCCAGAGGTACAGAAAAGATATTGCTACGTCTGTCAATCTTTGCTGTTTGTTGATAGGTTAGGTAAATACCCTCCCTCTCTGCATAAACTATTTCATTTTTGCCCAAAATTATGGAGGAAAGACAACAGTGAATGGTTCAATGATCTCTAGAATAAAAAGGCTACATCAATAATGAACCACATTGAAATAAAGCAGATTGTTGGCTGTCAGTAGCTGATAAATCAAAGAAAGGGGCAGTGTGCTACCTTAAGTAATAAAGTTAGGTAAGAATATGTTGGTTGATATATAGTGAAGAACATGTCCAAAATCCAATTGCATTATCATCATGTTGAATTATGCAAGTCTCAATCTTGAACATAAACACTTGTCCATAAAAAGGCATTCAAACATCTTCTGATTATGGTGACCAGGCAAGCAAAAGAGGGAGAGAGAGAGAGAGAGAGAGAGAGAGAGAGAGAAACCTCATCAGGAACCATATCAAAGAGGCTTGATCTTCTCTTTCTTCTTGTCATATTGGCTTTACGAATAAAATACTTCTGCGCATGGCTGGCTACTTGAGTCGGTGTCCTTGATACCACATAGTTACGTGATATGCCACGCCAATCACCTTTGCCAAGCTTCTGCAAACCAAGTAAAAACATTCTATGCTCCTCTTCAGTCCATGGAGTACCTGCAAATATCAACAACAAAAACCCATAGAACCACCTTAAAATGAAATGCCACACCTGATGGTGATAACCACCAAACGAAATATAAAAAATACATGTGTCACCAAGAAAAACTTTGAGATCTATATTCTAGTACAAGTGAGCAATCCTTTTATACATGAACATGTTCGATATTGTTGTTCTACTTCTGTTTAAATGCCTCTAGTATTTTCTTATTTTCAACTTCACTTTATTCTCTTTGTTTTTCACCATATATATAGAACTTTGCTTCAACATTGCATTAGTGGAAGTGAAGTCTGCCGATGGCTTGATGGCGATCCCCTGAGGAACCCACAGCTTAGGGCTACATCATGCGGTGCCAATGAATGAAGGTGAGGCAGAAGAGGCTGCTAATTTACATGAATTGCAATGGCATGTTGATGATGCAATGGCTCTTTTTCACCGCACCAACAAAGTTAACTAATCATTGTACGCATCGCTTTTTTCTTCTCCTCTTCATTGTTTCGGATGACTTGTAGAATACATAGTTCTTGGTTCATCTCCATGCCTTCACTATTTCCCTAAGTACATATTCCCTTCTGCAAGTCTCCTTTTTGTCATTAGCATGCTCAGAAAGCTCAACTAAGGAAAAATATTTTTTTTCTTCTTGAACCTTAATTAATCCACAAAACCTATGCTCTTTGTTCCCAAGACTTCAAAATATCAGCACTTTATTTCAATTTCTTTACTTATTTCTAAAATGAGTCAGACAAATCAACCAAACCAAAATACAAAAACTGTCTCGTCCATTTGCTTATAATTGTACCTCTTCCTTCTAGTTTGGTTCCTGTCAAATTTTCGGCAGTTTGGCTCTTCTTCTTTGGCACAGAAAAAGCTACACAGACCCCTGAACTGATTGATGGCACACCATATTTGGGTAATAAAAAGTCTGTTTAGCTAAAGCATTTGTTAGTACCTCTGGATACATCACATTAGCAACTTCAGGGTATATGATATAGGTTGAAGTGACTTAAACAGTTCGTATCGCGTTAACTGCGCTGTAGGGCAGTATAGTCAAACAAAGAAAAAGAATTCATTTCAACAACCCCCTTCCTGTTAGCGCAACAGTACGTTGCTTGTTGAATTTCACTGATGTACATATAATATAGGGATTCAGAACTTCTCTATTACTGATGCGCAGAATTCAATTTCAATTTCTTATTGAATCTCTCTCTTGTGCATATAATATATGATTTTAGTGTGCATAGCATATAAGATTTGAATGTCATCTATCTCTCGAACATATAACATAGGAATTTAATAATTTCTTATAAGGTATACAAATGGTTAAAGTTATATGTTCTGAAAGCCTCCTCCTAGAATCCATTTGTGGCGTTTCATAATTCACACTGACATGGTTAATGGCACTAGTTGAATCCAGAAGAAAAACATCCAACCCAATGCATTCCACAAAACGAAGATGTAGGCAGTCTGCCAATAGTTTCTTTTTCATTCTTTCACTACTCAACTTCTCCGTACTGCTCTCAGGAACAAATGGATTGTTCTTCTATCATAACTAGTGCACAAAGACACCTACCGCATCATGAAAGCAGGTAAAGAAGAATTTTTTCCTCAAGAATGTCACTAACTCGTAACAGAACAATTGCAGCCCTTATCAGTCCTAGATAAAGCCAAACTTAATCACTGCCAGATGCAATGCTAACATGCACTTGAACCTACAAGAATGACAACCGTGTAAGAAAACCTACAACATGGCATAAAAAGTGTGGATTCTACACGACATGAACACATGCCAAGTTCAGAAAGCGGGACAGACGGGTACGTCGCGCATTCCATTTCGATTCTACGAATTAGAACCAAATCCAGGTTTTTATTGTGCCTCTGCTAATCATTTCAATGAAAGGCGTAAGGAGCAAGTAAATCTTACAACTATCAGAGAAATTTATGTCAATATGACAGAGAATCTCCTTCAGCTGAGAGGACAAATCTTTTACCAAAATCAAGAAACGACGCAAGCGAGAGTGACGAGAGATCAAGAGAGATTCACCCTTCTTTCGCTCGCGGCAGCTGGAAGACGACCCCTTGACGAAATCCTCCGACGCGTATCCGTCCGCCGCGGCGCCGCCTCCGGGCTCGGGCGACGCGCCGCCGCTGGATCCGGCAAGGAGGGAGAGGTTCCCCATGCTGGCGCTCTTCCGGACGGATCCATCGGTGAGCCGCACCCCGAAGAGCTTGACGCCACGGTTAGGGCACGTCCGGGAGTTGTGGCCATTGTGGCTGCAGTGGGAGCAGCGCCGCGTCATCTTCCCGGCGCCCGCCGTGTCCTCCTCCTCTGTCTTCGGAGCTCGATCTCCGAATCTCCCCGCCGATCCCGAGGAGGAAAATTAGGGTTGGAATTGGGAATTTAGAGCCACAGAACAGGGAGTAGTGGGATCGGGAGATCGCGAGGGAGGAGGAGCGCGAGTGGGTCACGGAAGAAGCAGCGAAGGGGGACAAGAAAATATTGGAAATGGGATAAAGAGCTAAAATACTTATATACTCGTTCCAATTTCACCCACATTTCTTCTCTAACTTTTTCAGGTTGTGGTTAGAGAATCACTTGTGGCCCCCGCACCCAGGTGACACGAGTACATTCGCCGGGTATAAAACTTGTTTCCCCGATAATAAAGCGATATCAGCAGGCAGCACCACCCACGTGGCTCATACTGTCGCGTCCATATACCACCACTGCCCTGTGGACTTGCCCACGCACCATAGTCCCCGGATCGTACCCTCGTCATCACTGGATAAAATTACGCTAAAATGCGGGGCCCACAAGGAAGACAGACGACTACGATGATCGGGGTAGATCGTCTACGAGTAGGAAAAACGTCGATCCTTTATCCGCGTCTGCTTCCTACATTTGTTTCTTGACTGAAAAGTCAAACTACTATCTCAGAGGAATCACAAAACAGTATGAGTAGATAAAAGGATTAATCTCACTCAGAATACAGACAGGGGGAATTTTAATATATTTTATTTCAAAAAATATTCATTAACACCACAAAGAATAAAAAGAAAAAGAAAATAAAACTAGCATTAGTTAATTTGGGATAAAAGAGAAATTATATGGTGAATTCACAATTAGTAGATGTTCTATTTTGGCATATTGGATAGATTATAACACCAAAACCTTTTGAAAGAGAATTTTACATATTTTAGGGTATCCTCCTTCTTCTTCTTTTTTCTTTTCGTTATAATATCACCTGAAATAGAATTAAAAAGTCATTGTGGGCCTATTCTGGCCCAAATAAATTTATTGACCGGTCCATGATCTGTTTAGCCCACTTAGGAATAATAATACATCTATAAGCTTTGGATTACTTGAGGGAGGTAAGAGAAGCAATCGTGTTTACGTAACGACATTTGGTGAGCATATTGGCAGAGTGTGAGCGAGGCTTATTCCTCCATCTCTTTTGTGTGGATCACAGTTCCATTTCTCTTGGTAATCATCGGCATGCAATTCCAAGAGGACACCAATCCCATGAAACAAGCAATGGATAACCAGTGGTGGAAGGAAAGTGAGGCGAGAGAGGAACTCAAGGCCACCACCTCAACACTGCATCAGCCATGGCCTTTCTCTGAAGCTCCTCTGTAATTCCTTTCTTTGTGCTGTGTTCTTCTCGTGACATGGTCGTAGCTACTTGTAGTCTTGCTCTTCGATTACCTCCCTTCTCTCTCAAGGCATGCTATGTTGACAATCCAAATGTCTTCATAAGACCAAATGAGAGCATGAGAACAGATGTGAGAGAGAGAGAGAGAGAGAGTAAAGTGCATCAAGGCATTTTTACAGTGGAAGAGACTGCCATTGCTTTTGCAAAAGATCAGCAGCAGCATCACTCCATCTTTTGCTTTCCTTCCCTCCTTTTGTTTCCTCAGGAAGTCTTGCAATTCACTCTCCCTCTTCCCTTATCTTCTCCCTCATCACTTGTCCCTGCACCCCAAAAAAGCCTATACGGAAGAGCGGAACAAGCACAGGATAGAGTGGAACAGGCGTTTCTTCTTGCGTCTGCATCCAATGGCTGACCCTAACTCTCCTCGCCACCTCTCCAAGCTTCCACCTCAAGCTCTGAGCACTCCAACGTCAATGACTCAGCACCTCTCACGAAAATTCAATTCCAGTTACCTTCACAAGGCCGTCTTCTTCTCCGTGATCATCGCACTCGTCTCCCTCTTCCCGTCCCGGGCGCCCGAGTTCGTGAACCAGAGCATCCTCTCGAGGACCTGGGAGCTCCTCCACCTTCTCTTCGTGGGGATCGCCATATCCTACGGCCTGTTCAGCCGCCGGAATGCTGACTTTGATGCGGGGAAGGAGACCTTGGTGAAGGCGGAGAACCACGATTCCTACTTGTCTCATGTGCTGCATGGTTCGTCGGTGTTCGACGACGATGAGTTCTACGGCATGCAAGAAATCCTCGGCGAGACCAAGACGCGGACTTGGAGTTCGCAGTACCGCCGAAATGAGCCGGTGGTTGTCATCGCAAATGAAAGCACCGAGAGCAGCCATGCCACCGGCAGGCCGCTCTTCTTGCCGGTGCGGAGCTTGAAGTCGCACATCCAGGACGACATGGATGCTCCCTCCGTGTCAATCGATGGGACCGACGAAACCGTGGAGGCTGGCGAGGCTGGCGTCGTTCCCTCGCCCGTTTCATGGAGATCGAGCTCAGGAAGGATGGAGATGATGGATGAACCGGGGTCTATCACAGGTATGGTCGTCCCACCTTGTTCCTCTTCGTCTCTGCCACCTCCATACTTGGACGACCATCCAAATCTTTCCAAGACTCCATCTTTCCGATCGTCCAAGACCCCCTCGCCGAATAGGTCCTCTCTTTCGCCGCAACCGAGGGCCAAAAGCGATGAGGAAATGAGGAACACGATGGCCTTCTACAAGTTCTCTCCGCCCCCTCCACCCCCACCCCCACCTCCACCGCCATTTACCAGCCATGGCTGTCCATCCACTGCACACAAAGAGATCATAAGAAAGACCTTCAAAGATGAACTGGAGGACTTGAGCAGGAGGGTGAGGACAGGTGGCCAAGCAAGCACCGACATCGTCTTCGATCTCTTCGAGTCAGCAACAAAACCAAAGAACAGCGTCGACGGCTCTTCTGTTGGAAGATGTTTGAGAACGACGATAGATCCTGCAACAAAGATAGACTCAGAGCAGTTTTTAGGCCACGAAGCTGAGAAAGTGGTGGTTCCTCCTGCTGATTCTGCTGCTGCTGCTGCTGCTGAGTCATCTGCCAAGGAACATGCCTTCAGCTCGGCAGCACAACCGAGAGGAGCAAATGAGAACGAAGTGGACAAGAAGGCGGATGAGTTCATAGCCAAGTTCAGAAAGCAGATCACACTTCAGAGATCTGAATCAGCTCAGCTGGCGGCAGCCAAGTGTTGACAGAACAATGGTGTCATCGGACTCGACTTTGCTTGCTTATGCCTGTCATTAATTATACCTCTTTGTTTCATGTTCTCCTTATTTTGTTTCACTTTTTCCTCTTATTTTCCATCAAGAATTTGGGAGCATCTGTCATTCATCATTACTAATATGAAGACTCAGAAATCAATGCGCAGCAGCTCTTCACTCTTCCCAAGCCATTATTCTGCTGCCTCCATGATTGTTGTAGCTGATGAGAGTGGAGGATGCTCGAATACTTGGCTTGTTATTCTACCATAATTGGTTTATGAGAAACAATTAAAACACTAGAAAATTGTAGCATAATTGTGGTAGATTCTTCTTGGGATGTTTGATTTCGACAAATAGTATCTGCACATCGATGGCTTTCCTCCTCCCAAAACGTAATCATCAAAAGGTAGGGAAGAATCATGTGAGATCATCATGTTCTACCGTCAACCATGCTTGCTTTTGAATCATCATCAGGCTCGAGTTCCTCATGTGGAATTTCGAGAAATAATCTCGTATAATGCGAAAAAGGTCTTCCTGCTGAAACAAAACCCCTGCGACCTCAACAAAATGGCCTGTGGGAACAAAAGGCTTCTTCTTTGTCTCTGTTGCATCTCTGCAGCCCACCTGAACCCTTCCCAAGAATTCAAACCATCATAATCATTCTCACAAAGCCATAATAGATTATGATAAAATGAAATAAATTATCTAATATATATTATAAAAATAAAAATATATTATATATTTAAAAAAAAAGTAAAATCAGTGTTTATTTTGTTACCAAACAATTTGAATAGAGAATCTAGAATTAATTATCAACAAATGGACATATCTATTAGGGCTAATTACATATTATTCCTGTAATTAATTATCTTTAGTATTTTAATTTTTATATTTTAAATTATTATTGAATCTTTATACTAATAAAAGTGAAACATTTAATTATATTTCTCTTTGTATTGTCGATTATGCTGATGAAAATATTGTAAAATTTATCACTATGTCTGATTTTATCAAATTTTGATTTATTATTGAGCACATGTGATGTTTTCGTCAATAGAATTAATTGCATAAGAAAAAATATAGTTAAATATTTTATTTTCATAAGTAGTATAGAGATTTCAATATAACTAATTTTTAAAAATATAAGAATCGAAATACGAAGGATAGCTGATTACTAATATATAATTAGTCATATCTATTAATCTCTCTCTCTCTCTCTCTCTCTCTCTCTCTATATATATATATATATATATATATATATATATATATATATATATATATATATATATATATATATATATATATATATATA